TAATGCAAACTATAAGTCACCTATAGTAAAGCTATGTAGATATGCAATGATTGGCTCCTAGAGCCTCTGGTACCATGTACCAGGTATTACAAGAGTGACTGGTCACTCTTCATGTAACTCGGGTACACTGGGTGTTCGTACCTCGTTACACAGCACAAAGCTAAAGCGCATCGAGACGCGATGGTACGGATACTATGTGTTTTTGGCAAGACAATTGACCGGGTTGCTTTCCTGGTCAGCGACAATTGCTCCCTGAACAAAAAGTTAGCTCGCCTGCTTGGCGTACCGCTAGTCGGGTGCGCCAGCCACAGGTTGAACCTGGCTGTGACACTTGTGACGGCAAGCTTGGAAAGTGTGCTCGTCAAAACCCAAGGACTGATGGTGAGACTCCGTACGCTGAACGAATCGGCCAAGCTTCGGTAAGTTTTTTTTTTATTTTTTTAATCTCTAACATTTTACATTTTTTTTGAATATTTTTAAGATTCAAGACAAAACTTCGCCCGGTACTTCGTCAAGACACCAGAAGGGGTTCAACCTTTAAAATGCTTCACCATTATTTTGATCTTCTCGAATTTATCGACCGTGACGACGAGAATCTGGCTGAGTTCATCCCCTCCGCGAGTGAAAACAAGAAATTGAAGGTGCTGTTGACGACACTGGAACTGATTCAGTCGGTTTCAATGCAGCTGCAGTCCGATGGTGTGACGCTATGGGAGATTTGCGTTCTATTCGACGCATTGCTCAAGGAAATGCCCGCTTTAAAGCGATACTTGGGTACGTTGTTGCATTTTATATTCCACGTTTTATTCGACCAATTTTTCCTGCAATTTCAACTTAGGTGCTACAGGATCAATCGTCGCCAGCCCTGACTTTGAGTCAGCCTGCGTCAAAATTCAGTCGGACAAACAGAACCCTATTAGCCGCCAGGAGAAAGCGGCTTGCCAACGTTTCCTGCGAGAGCCCCAGAACGAAGTGAATCTGCAAGGATCGTCGCAACAAGGTTTCGCAGCATCAGTCCTTAAAAAAGCTCGACTGGAGTCAGCGAAAAAAACGCGTACAAACTCGTCCACGCGATCCCTCCCACATCCAACCTTGCTGAACGTTTGTTTAGCGTTGCTCGCGCGACTTACGGTCTTGATCTGCACTCTTTGTTGCCCATCTCGCTGGAAATGGTGTTATGTCTGAGAGTTAACGAGTGTTACTGGGGTGCTGAAACTATTCATCAATGCCTCGACTAATTTAACCAAAGATCAATTCCCCATTATCCCATTAATGACAATAATGCATAATCGACTGGTTTGGTTTGTATATGCATTATGCATGGGTAGCTCAAAAAACGAAATGTGATTAATGCAAGCCTCCAAGGAGACGCCTCAGCTGGAGACAGTTTCGCCGGAATTACCGTCTCCCGTGTCCAGAGGGAGGCGGTTTTACCGGGATTACCGTCTCCGTCCCCAATTCTCCTAAGATGGAGATGAAATCGCAATCTCCCGAGATTGAGATCCTTTCTGTAGCCGTCAATTACACGTAATCTTCTTCCGAACAAGAAAGGCAACAAAACTCGTCATTTCTCCTTTTTTGATTGGTCAAAATGCCTTTACCTCCCATTATTTTGTTACTGGCGATCTACCACAAACGTCACTAAAACTGCGCCAAAGAAGGATCTTTTCTCGCAGTAAATTGCCACCAGGATACGTCACCGTTGAACTCATAGTTTGTCTACGAGGCGTTGCGCCTTTCCGAGCGCTAGAAGGATACAGCACAAGCATATCCCCAGGCCAAGCTTAATTTCTAGAAGAGCGTGAGTCTGTAGCATGCTTACTACTTCATAATAACAGCGCTCCATTTCTCAATTTGCCGCGGATTTCGCGATCAGCAGACCGACGGTTTGAGTCTCCAGCATAATAATGCATCCGCTCCCCCCAGGCATCCGCGATGCTATAAACTCTTTCGAGCCACCCGATGGATTTATCGTTCTTCCTCCAAGACGAATCGAAAAATCCATATTTTTTTCTTATGGGATTCGTCTAGTCAAAGCCCCTGAGTGCCCGTCAGTGGAGGCCGAAATTTCTTCGCCGGCTATTTGGATGTGCTTGACCGGCGATATTTGCCGAGAGAGTGGGGTAACATTTCCGTGGCAAGACATCAGCAGCCACCAAACACCTAAAAAAAGCCCACGATGTCACCTCAAAGCGAACTGAAGCCTGCCAAGAAAAGCGACGGTCCCGTGACGAAGAACTCGATCGTGTTCGTAGCTCGCAGTTATTTCGCGACGACCCCGCACGAGTTTATGTTCTCATGGAAACGCTGCGCATCGTTAACAATAATCTTCCCTATCACCTCGGAGAATATGATGTATCTATCTCAATTCGTGAGCTCGTCTTTAAGGACGGAATGCAAGCCGCAATTAATGGAAAGATCGTCAGTCATTGTATAGTGGAGTTGTATGCATCGACTAAGAGAGTGATCGAGCTAATCCTAGTCGCGGTTCGCATAAGCAGCGCTCCCAATTTTTTTAGCGTCGTAGCCGAGTTTTGGACTTCGAAAGTACAGACTACAAAGTATTTCGGATTGCGGCTTTATTTTATCGACGAAACCTTCAGGCTGAAGTCGATACTCCTCGGAACGCGACACATCGAGCCACAGTACGGTGAGCGCAAAGGCGGTATCCGTGGTCCATTTCAGCGCTGGGTTGATGAAATCCTTCGCGATTTTGGGCTGTCGCGTCGAGACTTGTTTGGCGCCACATCAGACGCTGGGTCCGACGTAAAATGTATGATGCGAGAAGGTCTAAAGCTAAGCTGGCAATGGTGTATACCTCACATGACCAACGCGGATACTAAAGTTGCATGTGGTATGGAGGCGGACGCCTCCAAATCTAAAAACCCCGCCATGACAGATTTGATTCGCCGCATCGAAAAGACCGTATACACAGTCCAGCACGTTGAAGTTATGGGGGCACTATTTGAAGAGCTATGCGTCTTTGGAAAAAGCAAAAAATCTCCCCATCTGCTGCTGGACTATCGAGTACATCGGGTTTTGGGACTTACACGTGTAATTAGACGCATTATTGACCTTTGGGAGCATCTAGTTACGTGGTACACTGAGAGACTTGACAAGGCGCGGAGTGAACGTGCCCGTCTTCCTGCCGGATTTTCCATTGGAGCGTGATTATCAGAACCTCATTCAAATTATGTCGATTTTCAACCTATCACTTCTGTGAACACTAAGGCCCAGGCTGAAAGTGCAAATCAAATTGATGTTCTATTGACTTTGTACAAGTTGCGCGTCACTGTCCTGGATTGCTCGAAAGAGCTTCGCGATTATCGCTCTACCAAAGAGCGCCGAATTTTCGGCCAGAGGATCTTACACTACTTGCATCCAACACACGCACGCTGGTTCACGACGCTTTTCACGAGCGGTTCTTCTCACGCTACACAGAACGAAAAAAAATGAATAAGTGTTCGTATGTGTTGGAGATGCAGCTCTTCCTGCGCCCCAACTTTAAAATTTTCGATGGATTTCTTAAGCGAATTATTCAGTTGTGCAATGCTGATTTGACCGGTGCTGCTACTGCAGCAGGAGACCAACACTTCACCAAGATTAGAAAGACGATCTACGACAAGGTCCGGTCAATTATGGTAGCTGTGGCTGCCCCAGGGGATGTAAGGCCACCACCACTAGTTCAAGAGTAGCCTCCTGCACCTTCAACGCTTTCTCCGAGGATCTTACGGAACTTTTTGCCGATATTATTGACGATGAACCCACCGAACCTGAAGCAGTCCAAGACCTTAATTCTACTCGCACCGACGAAGAGTTGGAGAGGTGGGAAACAACCTCTTGCTCTATTTAGACCAACGCAAGTCGCCCTGAGACCATACTAGAGTTCTGGGAGCGCCAAGCGGAGACTGGCACGTACAAGTTCCTTCCACTTGTAGCAAGGGTTTTGTTCGCAATCCCTTCATCTTCCGCTCAAATAGAGCGGGATTTTGGTATAGCAGGGCAGTTGGTAACTCCGCAGCGAGGCTCCATAGCACCTCAAAATGTGGATATGCCCGCATTTTTAAACTGCAATAGGCAGTTCGTGGATGTGACGCAGTGCCCAAAGATTCACCCACGAGATATCGACAAGTTTATCCCATCGAATGTCAATGTAGGAATGGAGGAAGACGACGGAGAGGGTTGTGAATTGTTGGGCGGGTACTTTTCGAGTGACGATGATGAAGATATCGACGACACGGTGGCGTAGACAACTGGATTTTAAGTATAAAAAATATGCATGTCATTACGCCTTAGTATCTCTTCTTCCTTGATTGCCTTGTCCAGTGCGCTTCACTATAATATTAGATTTAGCAACTCGCATGGTTAATCAACAACTCGGCCAGTCTTAGAGCCTCCTCCGCATTCTTTTTCTTCAAGATATTTCTTCAGAGTGGTTTGGCTGTTGGTTATTTGGTCGGGCTGTCATCTGAAGTGGAAGCCTCCGTGAGCTTGTTTGTGTTCGCGATCTGGTCTCCGTAGTTATGTCTTTTAGATAGCGAGACCAAGTGCAACAACGTTTTGTTGCTCGGATCGACGAATCGCTTGCAGATCGTGACTTGATTTGATTTCTAGTTGACTGGTCAACTTAGAACAGCGCACTGGTTTAAGTTGTTCGTGTGCGTCTTCGGCCAGTGTACCTCGATTACTTCGATCTAGTTTGGACACATCAATATTGCTGGTATACATCTCCTTCTCTTCATCCGATGACACCGAAGATGGATTAGTTGAGGTAGCCATCGAGGACGTGTTGAGGTTCATTGTGTTGGCTTCACCACACGATCGCTGCTCATGAACCGCTTTAATGGCATACTGCCCAGCACCTTGGCTTTTCACGTCTCTCCCCTTGGCCATTTGCTGGATAAGGAAAGATCGAAGACGTTCATGGACATGCAATAGAACCATAGCCACAGTCGTTTTCTTGAACTCTTCCATTGTTTGTAATAACCTCGTTTCTAATGTCTCGTGAGCGGCGTTCTCCTCTGCGTAGTGGCGTCGAGTGATCGACTTGGCTTCCTTTTCCGCAGTAGATTTTGCCTGCTCCATCTGTGTTGTATTATCCTTCTTAACAGCGTTAATTTGCTCTTTAACCGTTTTCAGGATTTCTTGACCTTGTGCTGCTATTGCGAGTCGGATTTCCACACTCACTTGTTCTGCATGAGCTTTCAGAACGTCCTGCATGCGCTGCTCCATGCTGGCGTGAAGCTGCGCTGGAAGGTCTCCGTCATTCGAACGTCAGCCGTATGTACATGCTGTACAGTATGAGCCTCAACAACAGCTCGCCCTTGAGCCTCAGCAACGTCGTTAGCTGCAGCAATTGCTGATTGTAGCTGTGCGCTAACATGCTGTTCAATAGCCATGGGGTCTATCTGAGTTTTACGAATCATTTCAGCTAACACCAGGCTCTTTGCTCGGCTTCGTAACGCGCTTGTTGAAAGCGAGACTCAGTGTACAGCTGCTGTTGCTGGGCTTGAAATTGCTGACTAGCGTGAAGCTGCCGCTGACACTCAGCGATATCTTGTGCTTGGGCTGATACGTGTGTGATCGCCATGCCTAGCCTGCGGTTGGTAACCCCGGCGCGTGAATCTTCGCCATACACCACGAGCCCTTCACTGTTCTTGGACGCCATCGCGAGAGAAGATTGCGTGACTTCTCGGTAAATCGTTATGTGCAGTCAGCTAAAACTTAGGAGCCCGGGTGGCATTTTACCCAATTGAGTATATACAGATATCATCCAACCCAGCGACAGAAAGGAAAGATCAAGGAGATCAAGGAGACTCTCTCTTATTAAGTTCGTCTCTCTTCACTTACATCTCCCTATTTTGGAGTGAGATCCGTCTCCGTCTCCTCTCCTTCTAGGCTTGGATTAATGCCATATTCGGGAACCCTGTCTCCGAGTGCATCTGGTCGGCCGATGTGTTCTTCGGGGCATGTTGAAGTTGAATTGTGTGCACCACTCAACGGGGCACGATTTCCTTCTTTTCAGCCAGTAAGAACAGCGAGGCCTTGTTGCGTCCAGTCCGAACTGTCTCCTCCACCCACTATCAAAGTCTCCAGAAGATCATCATGGCCGATCTGCCTCCAACTCCCGCCGTCGCCGCCGAGTCCACGCCGGAGACGCTTCTACCCGTCCCTGAGACGTCCATAACCCCTGCGAAATATGATGCCAATCCCTCTGACAAGAAAACTAGCGCGTGGAAGGAGCGCGGTAGCAGGAACTTGACGTATGACGAGCGTCGCGCCATGCTCGACTTCCTCCTAAAGCGACGCATCGAAGGCTCCACGAAGCTGATGCGGCACGCCGTCACAGATGCAGCGACCGAGTTCGGTGTGGACCGTCGCACAGTCTCGAGGCTATGGAAGCGCGCAGTGCAAAGCTTGGAGAACGGCGACGAGGTGTGTGACGTTGCGTCACGGAAGGTCGGACGCCGCGGCCGACGGAAACGCGACTGGTCAGCGGAATTGGAGCGTGTCAAGGAGATCCCATTGGCTCAGAGAGGCTCCATCCGCGCACTAGCCACAGCGGTCGGTATCCCCAAGACGACACTGTACGAACTCCTAAAGGAGGACGGGAATCCCTCCATTAACGCAATCAAGCCGTCGCTCACAGACAAGAATAAGCTCGAGCGTCTGCGCTATTGTGCCGATAAAGTACGGTCCAATGGACTATTCGACGACATGTACAACGTCGTGCATATCAATATGAAGTGGTTCTCGCTTCCAAGGGATAAAAAGACAAAGGTCATGTTCATGGCAGCTGTAGCACGTCCTCAATGGGACTCACAAAGGAACGAGTTCTTTGACGGTAAGATAGGCGTATGGCCATTTGTCCGAGATGAGATACAAGCGTGTATCCCCATGGAGGGCTCAGATATGAAGTCTGCACTGCAAGGAAGAACGTTTGTACCGTTGGAGACTGTGACCAAAGAGGACGTACAGCGCATGATCACAGAGATAATAGTCCCCACTATTCGACACAAAATGCCGGTACATTTAACTATCTACATCCAGCAAGACAGCGCCAAAATTCGCTGTTCTGGCGATGCCACATTTGCTGAAGAAGGTCGGAAGGAAGGCTGGAATATCCAGATGCAGAACCTCCCACCATATTCCCCGGACTTCACTGTGATGGACAGCGCTCTGTTCCGATTCGTTCAAGCAGCATTGAAAGCGTCACCGCCCCCTTTACTCAACACCTCGGTGTCAGGACTCACCGAGCTCGTGTCTTGTGTGGAGCGAGCGTTCTCAACACTGAAAAGTGACCAGATTAATGACGCTTTTCTGTCATTGCAAAAGGCGATGGAGTGTACGATGCGTGTTCAGGGCTCCAACACGTACGAACTAGGCCCCACTAGCAAGGAACAGCTCCAGTTCCAGGGCAGTCTACCTGTGAGTATACTATGCGATCCTGACGCACTGTTGGCATGCAGAGCAGCGCTGGACGAGAACACTGATGAGGCTCTAGAAACTCTCTAAAGGGAAGATAAAGCGAGCTAGCATGCGTTCATTGTGGTGAGTTTCTTTCTACTAGGGAAAGACTATTCTTAAGCGACGAACGGAGCGCCGAGGTTCCACGCGATGAAGGCAAATACCTCGGACGTCTCCTCGATGATCTTGGTGGTGGGTTTTCCAGCTCCATGGCCGGACTTGGTGTCAATACGAATGAGTAGAGGGTTCGTCTGCGTCTCCGAGTGTCCCAATTGATGCTGAAGTTCCGCAATGAGTTTGTATGAGTGCAGAGGCACCACACGATCGTCATGGTCGCCAGTAGTCAGCAGCACAGAAGGGAATCCACCACGCTCCGACAGCTTCTGCATGATGGGGCTATCGGCATGCGGCACGTTGTGCACGGGCGAATAGCGACGAATGTAGTGGAAGTCGTCAGCCACATCTGGATCACCGTAGTCCGTGCGCCAAGCGTGGCCGATAGTGAACTTGTGGAAGCGCAGCATGTCCATGACACCCACAGCGCCCACCACGCAACGATACAGATCAGGACGCTGGTTACTGGTAGCCGCCACTAGCAGCCCGCCGTTAGATCCGCCGTGGATCGCGATCTTTTCCGGATTCGTGTAGCCCTCCTTGATCAAGTACTCAGCTGCGCCGTGGAAATCATCGAACACGTTCTGCTTCTTATGCAGCATACCATCCTGGTGCCACTGCTCGCCGTACTCGCCACCACCACGTAAGTTAGGCAGCGCCAACATACCATTAAAGTGCTGCACGAACACGAGTCTCGAGACGCTAAAAGCAGGCGTAAGCGAGATGTTGAAGCCTCCGTAGCCATACAAATACACAGGCAACTCGCCGTTCTTCGGTGCGTTCTTGCGCTTTACAAGGAACATGGGGATCTTGGTGCCATCCTTGGACGGATAGAACACTTGCTCGGCCTCAAACTGACTCGGATCAAAATCTTTCACCTTCGTCTCCCGGAACAGCTCAGCTTCAGGTGCAGTTCCAGAAGTTACAGCCGCCTTGGACAGGTCGATACGGAAGATAGAACCCGGATACAGGAACGAGATGAAGTGGTAGAACAGCTCCGACTCGGTGCGTTTGCTAGCCACCCCCACAGTGCCTACACTAGGCAGAGGGATCTCGTACTGGAACACACCGTCTAGGTTGTACACATGCAGCTCGTTGTGCACATCCTTGACGAGCTGTACGACCAGCAAGTTCGGCGCCACAGGGTGCACACCTTCGATCACGATGGCGTCTGACTGTTCCGGGATCACTTCTTCCCACACTGGCGTGGCACTGAGTTTGGTACGCACCACACGCTCGCGGGGGGCGTCAGCATTGGTCTTGAAGTAGTAGTAGTCGCCGTCGTTCAAGATGTACGAGTACGCTGCGTCCATATTGTCCACCAGCTTCGTCACTGAGATCGTGGAGTCACTTGGGCCCTTCAGGAAGTTCTCAAAGTCACTCAAATCCGCGGCGTGGATCATATTGGCATTCTTGCAGCCATCTTGGACATACAGCAGCAGCTTCTTACCGTCGTCTGAGACCTCAGCACCGACGTTAAACGTTGGTTCAGTCGGGTATGCGTACACCAGTTTGTCTTCAGACTGCGGCGTGTGCAGCTTGTGGTACCAAAGCTGGTGGTTCATGTTGGAGTCCGTCTCGGTGCCTCTCTTGGGTCCCTCTGCATCGTCGTGCTTGTCGTCCTTCATCTTCTCCGGAGGAGGGTAGCGTGAGTAAAAGAACCCCTTGTCATCGTGTGTCCAGGAGATACTGGAGAACTTGACCCACTCCACTGTGTCGTCCAACATCTTGTTATTGTCGTGCACCGCCATGACCTTAATGGTCTGCCAATCTGAGCCGCCACGCGAAATACCGTGCGCGAAGAAGAGCTTGCCGTCCTGGAGTTTGGCCTCCGAGAACGCGCGACTGGATAGCGCGGCGGTACCGTCCTCTGCTAAAAGATTGGGGTCCAATAGCACGCGAGGTTCACTGTGCAGCTCGTCCTGGATGTACAGCACGCTCTGGTTCTGTAGTCCGTCGTTCTTGGAGAAGACGTACTTGCCTCCGTGTTTACGCGGAGCGGAGTATTTCTCATAGTTGAAAAGCTCCGTCATACGCGCCTTGGTTTCGGCCACGAACGGCATTTGGTTCAACACGCGCTGCGTCACTTCGTTCTGCTTGGTGACAAACTCACGCGTCTCGGGCGAGTCCGGGTCCTCAAGCCAGCGGTACGGATCCGCCACTTGCACACCATGCAGCGTCTCCACCAGATCGCCACGGCGCACGGCCGGGTACGTCAATTTCTCAGCTAGTAAACCTGCAGTCTTCATGGCCTTCTTCATCAGATCTTGCAATGAGGGGAGCAAATTGAAGAAGTACGTCACTATCAAACCTCGATTTAGCGTCACAGTAGGACGAATAGTCATTACTTGATTTTTGAATGTTTTTATTCAAGCCAAAATTTTTATGAAAATCTATGATCCATCATACTATATGACACAGATATGACCGATCCACTATACTTGTTCGCGTTTTGAAATATGTGGAACCAGGCGCTGCGGCGCGTCGTCCACGCCGAGGAGCAGCAGCAGGCGGAGCGTCGTCGACAGCAACTGGCACAAGCTGCTACCGCAGCGTGTTCTGCGTCGAACGCGACTTCTGCAAGCTCTGACGTCCCGATAGGAGCCGAGCAATCCGCAGCAGAAGGCAACAATTCCGTCCCCGCAGCTCCCTCTGACGCTAATGCAGCCCCAGAGCCCAACAATGATGCGCCATGCGTGGAAGACACAGAGGACGATGACGACTATCTTCAAAAGCACCTGCTCTCGCGGCCGACGTCGACCTGGAGTTGTCTCGAGGACACACAACAGGCCAACTGCTTGGCGCTCAACTCCTCACACACACTCGTGGCGGTGGGCGAGCGCGACGGCCGCGTGACCATTTGGGATAACACGACCATCCGCGTCATCACTCGCGAGCTGGACCCAACGCTTATTGCCGTGGAGTCTCCTACAGGCGAGACAGTCCATGGACAGGAGGAATCCACTACCAAGACCGACAATACGAAGAAGACAGATGCAGACGGATCAGTGGAGAACGATGACGCGTCAGTAGAAGATGACGACGAGGAGAGAACCGAAGATGCGTCAGTCGAAGAAGCCACAGAAGAAGACGAAGTAGACGAAGACAATAACGAGAGTGAAGAGACCAAGACAGAGGACGAAGCAGACACCTCAGGAGGTGGAGTTGTATTGACTCTGTCGGATCTTCGAGTAGTCAAGACAGCTCTCAAGGTGGTCTCTCAATGCGCGTGGTCATACAATTCCCATTGGCTGTTTGCAGGCTGCGAGGAGAAGTCTACACGTCGAGCGAGACTTTGTGTATGGAATGTTGAGGCTGCAACACTCGTATCAGCGTTCAGATTTGACGGAACAATCACAGCGTTGAGTGCACATCCAAGTGATCCCAAACTGGTGCTTGTGAGCTTCTGGAACTCTCGTCCAGTGCTATTGAATGTGGTAACTGGAGAGAAGTCAGAGCTTGAGAATGTTCCGCTGGAAAACACTGAAGTTGCTCAACCAACGCCTCAAAGTAACTCGCGACATCCAACGCTTGCGTCCTGTGCAAGATATGGTCGTTCTGGGACACGTATCTACTGTGCTACGTCGAAATCAACGCTGGCGATACTGGACGCGACGACTCTGCAGTGTCTGGACAGTCTCAAGCTCACCGTGCTCATCCAGTTCGTTGATTTGAGTGTCAACTTACGTGAAAATGCCATGCTACTCACGAGTTCCAAGGGAATCCACGAGTTCGTCATGGATCCCACTGATGCGACCGAAGAGCACCCGTTAGGACTGCGTGAAGTGGCTCTACACTCGACTGGAGCTGTACGTGCACCGTGGGCGGTGTGTTGCTTTAGTGGCGGCGAGGAGTTTGTGGTCGGGACGCCAGTGGTACGTCATCGTCACGTAGGAGAGAACGGGTTATTCACGTGGCATCGCGCGTCTGTTTTAAACAAGACAACAGCTCAGCACAACGTTGGAGTGAAGGATGGAGTGCTCGCATTAACGTGGGATCGGTCAAGACAAAGCGTGTTAGCTGTGTCTACCAGTGGAGCTCTGCATGTACTCGAGGAACAGTTCAGTACCACGTGGCCGGGGGCGATGTATCCTGCGGGCTTTCGACTCATCACGGACAACGAGCTGCATCTCGAGGTGTTTGATCGTGACGCACAAGAGCGGAAAGAAGAGAAGGAGAAGCTCACAGAAGCTGCGAGACAAGCGCCAGTTGACGTGTTCACTGTACAAAGTCCGTCTGTGGAGTTCCCTGTTGACGACGATGGCGTTGGCGTGAATGAATTCGAGAAACCGTGCTTTATCCCAGCCGTACCGATCGCTTATTACCATCGTCGACATCTGCATCAACTCCATGGAGTGCCATACAACGAGGAAAAACATTTCGGTCTTGGTCAAAGTGTGTTTGAGCCGCTGAAAGGTGCACTGGGGAAGCAGAAGAAGAGCAGTTCGCGGAAATCCAAGAGCAACAAGAAACGGCGACGCAGATAGGCCCAGGTAATGTCAAGTACGTTTATCCTTGTCTGTTTGTTTCTACTGCAGCGCTGCCTCGAGTCGTTGAAAGGATTGCGTCAGTGCACAGCTACGCAACGCATCAGCCTTTTTGGTTTTGAAGGAAGCAGCCCTGGAGTTTGTGCACTGCTCGTCTTGAATCTCTGTATCTTGATCAGACTCGTTGGACTGAAGACGTTCAATCACGGAGATTCGTGATATCTGGAGTGCTCGAACAGCTATCGAGTTAACCTTTAGGCGTCGATGCGCAGAGACTCCAGGTGAATTGACTGGACAAACTGGGCTGATAGTTAATGGGAGTTCGGGTTCGGAACGTTCCGAGCTTCGCAGACTTTCGGACTTTCGGGCTTGTTGCCTCACCGCTCGACTCCCTTCTCGTGATTTTCTTACTGTTTTATTCAGTTCAGGTGCTGCATCGCAAACTGGGATATCAAGGCAAACACAAGATGATGAAGTGGAGACGTGTCCTGCCCAACCACATCGAGAGCACGTCAATTTACTGCGTCGTTGAGCTGCCAGCGTTAGTCGTACGACATGCTCGGAGCCTTCAGTGAACTTCTTGCGTTGAGCTAATGCAGTGGCTCTCCGCAGCTCGAACCAAGCCTGCCGCTGTGCTATCCACTCCTGAAACAACTTCAATGACGCAGATTCCTGGGCCAGAACCATAAGCAACACTGTCGAGGGCAACGTGTACGCTCGTGCACCATTTGCTGATGTTACGGCACAATATCGTTCAAATGAGGTTGCCAGGCACAAGGTCTCCGATACCCCAACTGAATCATGAGTCTGTAGTAGTTCTAGTTCTAAATCTGCTTCTTGATTTATTCCATTGCGTAGAGATCCTAGAGTTAGTTGGCCAGAGACCACGATAAAAACTCGTACAGGTTGGCCAGGTGTGAAGAGATATTCTTCTTGTTCGATAGTAACAGGGTGTAAATGAGCAGCTAGAAAGCGTCGAGAGGAATCGGCCATAGATCGGAAGAGAAAAGTGTTGCGTAGGAAGATTTCTGCTTCTGGTGTAAAGGAGATCGGGAACGTTGGTAAACGTGTGATATGTCGACGCTGAAGCTGCTGAATGACGTGGTACGGCAAGCACAGGACGTGCGTAAGAGCATTTTCACGAAGTCCAAGGAGATTGCGCTGTCGTGCATTGCCCACTGTCGCGGTTGAGAGCTGGTAGTCAAATCCGAACGCTGCAGCATCAAGACCGAAGCAATCGCCTGCTGTAAGCTCTCGTAGATGTAGAAGTGGACCATCTCTAAAATCAGGCATTCCAGTGGGTATCTTCGGCAGAGTTGATGAAGTAGACGACTCTCGTAGAAGGACTGGTCGGAGCGAGAGATCACAATGGCCATTGAGAAGGAAATACACGTTTTCAGTACGTGTCGTACTCTGAACCACGATCGTCTCGCCTGGCGTTGCTGACAGCACAGTGGAGTATCGGAAGATAAGTCTCCAGGGCTCCTCACACTCAGCATTTTCGTCTTCTGTACAGTTATTCTCGTCGTTTTCATCAATTCTGTCGATAATGAGGGCATCCTCGTTCGCTGTCTCTGTATTGATCATACCCAGGGCTTGGAACGTGTTTAGGAGTTGTTGAAAATGCTGTGATAGCCACTGCCGGAAACCTGCCACAACTCTCGGGTTTTCTCGTTGTTTGTTACTAGTCTCCGGGTTCTGTAGCAGCAAATTGAAGCTTTCGGACCGACTGAAAGGGTCAAAAGCGACGGACTCGTGCACCGCACGACCTCGATAAGGAGGGTTTCCTCTAATAATTGATCCGCGTAGTCCAGTAGGTGGAACGGCATTGAACTCCTTTCGTTCTGCAAGGGCAAGTGAAGAAGGTAAAGAGACTGCGCGAGGCCTGGGTAGCAGTACAGGCGCCAACTCGTGTGTCTTCAAGCGATATCGACTTGAAGGCGTTGTCGTGGCTGATCGGACATCATCTGACATGGGCACCACGTGGGAAGTGATCGAGATAGAGAAGTTCTATCCTTAAAAAATCTTAATTAGAGCACTGAAATGCTCGCTATTTATATGTTAAGAGAAGGAATAGGTAGTCAACGGTTAGAGCAAATCAATTTTATTCTTGAAAATGGCATTGGCGGAAAGCTAAACCAGAGGACACTGCTATAAAATAGGGTCCCTCATGTTGCTAATTGACGAAGCCCGACAGGTCATTGCGATTACTTCTTGCCTCCCTTCTTGCCGCCCTTGCCACCTTTCTCCTCCTTGGGAGCTACGTAAAGTCAACATTCACTATCGGTTAGGGACTGCACCTTGAGCAGGACTACAGCATTGCAGCGATGGACTCACCGTCCTTAGCAGCAGTCTTCTCTTCCTTGTTGTCTTTTCCCTTTCCCTTGCCCTTGCCCATGATTAACTGTGTGCTTGGTTCTTGCGAGGCGTAGAAGCTTGAGCTGTAGACCGGAAATTCGGGAATGAGCGTTGGCAGAAGAGTGCTCTGTCAAGGCCAACCGATCTGCCGCCAAGACTTGAGAAGGCGCATAGGAAGGGACGTCCGTTAGATGTAACGGTCCAAAACAACTTGACTTTTGTATGCCGCACAGATCTTGAAGGGTCGCATGTTGAAGCATCAAATTCGGGGACCCATAGCGACCAATCGGGAGAATAAATTGTGGCGCTAGCCATCTCGGGCAAGCAAAAAGGCAACTACCCTGCTCCATCGAAGGTGGCTCGAGATCGCGCCACTTCAAGCCGTAGAGGGATTTTACGCGAGTGCGAGGTTATTGAGCGCTTCAGCGAGCCCTTGGACGGCCTGTTGGCTGCTCGCGTCCAGTCGAAGACCAGCGGATCGCTTGGACATTCCTTGCATGAACGCAGCGACATACACGCGCATGCTGTCGAAGTAGCGGCAGATCCACGTGGTCATCTGCACTTGACTGGTCGACGTTTCCATCGGTTTGGCCTGCTTGAGCGACTGTGCTTTCTCATGACTGTACGCCATGCACTTCCGCACCAACGCAACGCCCGACCGCAGCTTTTTGTGGCGTCTTCCCTGTCGACTAGCAGCTTCCTCAATTGGTAAAGAGCCGTCGTACTCGAGTACAGGGACGACCAGGTTGACGAAGTCCAGCATGAGTTCAATCTGCGCTGCAACGACTCGTTGAGTGTTTTCCGCCCTGTCGTTTCCATCATTTAGCTCACCCAGTGCCTCAATTTCCCTCGCCACTTCCTCAACAGTCGAACTGAAGCGAGTTTGCACCTCATGTGTGAACGGGCCATCTCCTCCATACAACACGTCGTTCGAGTCCACACCGTCCAGACGACCTGGCAATGATCTCTGTCCCCACAAAGCATATAACTGAACTAGCATCAGCAGTACACGCACACGGACAACGCCAATTTCGAGTCGAGAGATCGGCGTCCACTTCATACGCTCCAATACAGCTTTACGCAGTGCAGACACAAAGTAGAAGGCGTCTTCGTCGTTCAGCGACGGAGCGTAGACCAACACACTCATCAACTGAGCGATAATCTGCAAGATCTGGCCGTTACCATTGCTCATTCTGTTAACCCCCACAGCACCAAACAGTCCCACAGCGCCAAAACTATTTGAGGTATGCAGAATTGAGTCTCCCTCAAATACTCGAATAGTGTTCGGGTCGAGATCTGCCAGTAATACGATTGCAGCTTTCACTAACGCGTCCATCTGCGGGATACAGTTGGTCACTAGCGCTACATTCGCTGCCGCCACCATAAGTTGAAGCTTCTCCAGTGGAGCCTCAATCGAAGGGATCGTAATATGTGCGAACGCCAAGCACGATTGGATAAAATTCCGTCGTGCATGAGTACGCTTCTTGCTTCCTACAGAAGCTCCGATGCGCTTGTGAACGTGCATGGCAAGTCGAAGTACCATACTGGATAACAGCATTTTGATCGGTTCCAGCTTGTAAAAGGCACGTCGACAGTCTGTATACAACATGAGCAATGCCTCTTGTTCTTCGTCTTGTGCTCGGTCACTCCCGGTGGTCTCATTGATGTATCCAAGTCGCGTAATAAATGCCGATATATCGCGGTTGGCTTCAGCTCGTTCAGATGCAGTACTCAGAGAGTCGAGAGCATCATGTACTCGACAACATACAACCAAGAGTGTGTGTGCCACAGCAGCTTTTGGACCCAAGACATGCAGCCGTAAAGTACCGGATCGGTCGGACGATTTCTTCAACCTTCCTCCAACAAAAGCTCGTAATACTTTCTTTGCCACATCCACACTCGACTCCCGTTTGAACATTCCCATAAGAGCCTGTATTCGTTTAAATAATGAGTTTATAGTTAGTATAAGATAAAACAGGGTTAACCATATACTTACCAAGAACGATGTAGACGGGATCAGCTTGGAGAAGAAGTCGTAGTGCTGTTTGGCGCCAAACACCACGTTTTCAATGAGTGCACCAAGTAGATTATACGTCTTTGCAGTGAGTTCTTCAGGTGTTGCAGCGTTCAAATGGCGAACGACATCTTTCAGTAGTATGAGAGCCTCTCGATGCTATCGTTACAAAACAAACACCCATTAGCACTCGTTATATGAAGAATATTCGACATACCGTACCGAAAAATGAGCAACAATAAGCTTCATATAAGCTGCTGCGCACTCCATGTACTGCGTGATATCTTCTTGAGACGTGATAGACGACCACGAATCGTTCAGAAACTGCAGCTTTCCTCCTGGTTCGTTATCTGCGATGCTCGATACGTTACTGAGTTGCACTGCTACGAGGCTGTAGAGATGGCACTTGGACACGAGAGAGGGCGACGCTGTGCGTATCAACTCCAGCATTTCAGTGGGTGTTGATGCGTAGAATTTGGCTCCGAAACATTCGCACAAGTGCTTGAGCACCATGGAACTGAAGGAATACTCTTGGTAATGCGCCAATAGCGTGTCAAACGTGTCTTGAGTAGCTCCTGGAGCCGCACACTTTACGAGCCACTCGACAGCAGGCGAATGCAGCGCCAGATAGTCCTCATACTCCATTTTATGAGAAAACAGCCAGCGCTCGAGCTTGTTTTGACGAAACCAGTTGAAGACGTAGAAGTAGTCGAATAGACTGCTATTCACGACGATCGTCTGCTCTGTCGGAGAGGTAGTGCCCAGCAATTCCGAACTGGTTAAGGCCAGATACAGACGCGCATATAATGCGACCATCGGCTCGCCAACACCTCTACAATACAACAAGTGAGTGTTAGAAATCACATTCCGACAATAATTCAATGCGAAAATGTCAATACTTGATCATGTTTGACAGCCGAGCTACAATCTGCGGATACTCGCCATCGCACAGAAAGCGATAGCAGCCGAGCAATGCAATCTCGATATAACTGGGCAAGTAACAGGTATAATCGTTAACAACATGCTATTTTACTCCAGCGTAATAGCATTTGGACACGTACATTCGTGGTAGAAGCTCTCGGATACACGCCGTCTTGTAGAACCAGTTGCGACAGGTTTCAGTGGCTTGGATGTTGATGTCGGAGCTCATGAAATGTTCACCCAGAGGCCCAGAATGAGGCTGACCGTTCTCGTCCTCGGACGCTCGTGTGTGAATGCGATCAAATACAAGTTTACCGAATGCGTCAAGCACTTCACTTACCAATACAAACACACATGGGTACAGTTGAGGCGCCGTATCGGTGTCGGCGAGCAGCTTGACACACTTAATTGCAATTCTCAGAGCCTCCACCTTGTGATTTTGCTCCCAACTTGCAATAAGTCTCTTCTGCATCTCTTTTACTTTGGCCACATATTGGCTTTGAGAGATTTCAATCGTTTTCTCGTCTTGTTCAGGCGAAGGACTGTTGTTATCAGGGTCTCGTTCCAACTGTTCCAATCGAGCACGGGTTTTCTTGATCACTGACACTTCTGCTTGGTCGTCTGCCTTCTGGTAGTCACTCTTTGGAGCAAATGAAAGCTCGTTCTCGAGGTCATTCACTTCGAGCATGCTCGCTTTGATCTTGAACGTGTGATCTGCATATTTGGCCAATAAGCGGTCTGTGTGCTCCTTCCACTTGAATTTGATCGTATTGGGCATTGCTGTAGCTTTTATCGGTTTTTCGTTGCCCTGTACGTCGCTCATTGCAGTTGTTTTAGAGTGTACAGACTCGGATTTTGACCGCATTATGCTGTCGGACGATCCTAGCGCACCGAGTGGGTCCACATCACCATCTTGCAGCACCACGAGTTCAGGAGACACTCCGCCACCACTTTTTCGCCTGGAGAATGAGTCGCCAAGAGAGGAAGCCAGAGAGCTGAGGGAAGTATCTACTACAACCGCCTTGAAGTCGTCCGATTCCGGTTGATTCAGAGCGGAAAAAGTCGCCGCAAGAGCCAGAGGATGTGTCTCCTTGGACATCAACCCGCGTGCTACTAGTTCGTGACGTGATCGAGGCACTTGACGCTCTCCTACGCGCCATTTGATCGTTTGAGTCGCTACCAGAGGCTCTCGCTCCGGCGCCATCATTGTCATCTGGAGCCCTTTGCAGTTTGAAGCTGGATAGATTCGCTCGTACTTATACCGGACTTAGATATAGCCAATCTTGTGATTGGCTATATCTAAATGACTTTTCAACCAATCATAGTGTCGTTTTCAAAAGTTTGAGCCCGCGCCAAGCATCTGAAGGTTGACCGGAAGGGTGAGTCCGGTCGCGCCGTAGTGACGCCTGGAAGCCTCCCCTGCGTCGTATTAAGGTAATAACTGCGCTGTCCATAGTGCTGCTATTTGGAGGAAACGAATACGTACGCAACAAGGCGTCTAACGCTCTTTAATTCGCTCTAAAAGCTGAGATATCCCGACCTGAAACTGACCTATGCTCGTCTTCATTGTATCCCCGCTTACTGCACACATCAGTAACAGTTTAAATAGACACAAGCTCAAGGATGTTCGGAGCAACTGCAGGAACGACGCAACCCGCAGCTGGAGGTTTTAACTTCGGTGGAACAGCAGCGGCAGCAGCTCCTGCCGCCTCTGGCGGCTTCAGCTTTGGTGCAACTTCGGCAGCTCCAGCGGCTGCACCTGCAACAGGAGGATTCAATTTCGGAGGAGCAGCAGCGTCTACAGCTCCAGCAACAGGCTCAACAGGCTTCAGCTTCGGTGCCACACCGGCGACGAGCACAGCAGCTCCTGCTTCCAGTGGCTTCAGCTTTGGCGCTACACCCGCAGCACCTGCTGCCAGTACTGGATTCAGTTTTGGCAGTACTAGCACAGCTCCGACTGCTAGCAGCGGCTTCAGCTTCGGCGGGACGTCTACTGCACCTGCTGCGAGTGGCTTTAGCTTTGGTGGCACTAGTACAGCCCCAGCAGCTAGCACAGGCTTCAGCTTCGGCGGTGCTGCTCCAGCTACCAACACGACGTCGTCTTTCGGATTCGGTGGCGCTACAGCTGCGAAGCCTTCTCTATTCGGTCAGAATCCTGCGACTAGCACAGCGACGACAGGCTTTGGCTTTGGAGCTAAGCCAACAACTACAGGTACAGGCTTTGGATTCGGTACAGGCGCTAGCACAGGAACCAGCGGCTTTGGAACGCCTGGAGCTCCGTCTACGTTTGGTGCTGCTCCTGCTGCGCCGACTGCGCCAGCCCCAATCATCCTGGGCGCAGACGCTTCAGTTGCTCAGCTTAACACCGTTAAGACCGCGTATCAGGACCCAGCGCAGTCGCGGTTCAAGTTCCTCATGTACAACACTGTGGACCCGACTCAGCGACACCTGTACACTCGACCAGCACACATTAGCGAGCGTCTGTGGAACCAAGCCGAGCTGGACAACCCAGACCCGCTGAACTGCGCTCCTGTCCCCATCTTGGGCTTTGACAACCTGCTGAAACGTATCAAGGCGCAACAGGAACACGCTGAGAAGTACAACAAGTACACGGACGACTTACGAGCGCAACTTAAGGAGATGGACAAACACACGCGCGCGACAGAGGAGAAGCTGGAGAAATGTCGTCACGAACACGTGCAGCTCTTCCACGCACTCGTAAAGGTCATGAGGGACATTGAACTGCTGCAGAACTACGGCAAACCACTGCAACGCGAAGAGATGCAGCTAGCGTACGTTACTGTTGATTGAGCGTATGTGCCAGCTCTTTGACACTGACTTTGTATGCTACAGGATGATGTTAAAGAAGCTGCAGACGTTGCTGGACTCGCCTGGTCAGTACAAGGCCCGACTAAATGACGCTGTGTCACTACAACGCGTCCAGAAGGAGACACAGCCTCCTCCATCCAGTCTACTCAGTCCGCAGGACTTGCAGCGACTCTATGAGGTATGTACTGACGCTGAGAGTTGGGTGAACGCAGTCTAATATGTCAGTTGTGTCTTGCAGTTTATGGACAAGCAACGACAGGGGCTGGAACACCTCACCAACATGATTAACGACGACCTGGCGGACATTCAGCTCATCAAAGAAACCTGGCGACGATAGACGGACAGCTTGAGTGCAGTAGCAACCGCCTAATAGCTGTAGGAAAGCACAGACTGCATGCATGTTCGCAAAAGTTACCAAATTGTGTGTCTTTTATTTGGAGTCGCTCTAGACAGACCATTGACCTGCCTGCACTGCCGATATTCTTGACCCTTGATACTTATGCCAACACAGAGTACAGCAGCTACAGTAGACGACGTCCACGAGTTGCTGATCTAGTGGGCGTACGGGTCCACGTCGCCGTACGTCTCAATGACGATAGGGGCCTCGTCGAACTGGTGAACAGGAGGGGGCGACGACAGGCACCACTCGAGTGTCTGGTGGAGCTCCGGGATCACGACCTGGGGGTCCTCAGTGGGCGTGTTGTTAATGGGCACACCGTGCACCTTGCCATCAGTGGAGAAGCGAGCGACAGCGGGGCGGATGGCGGCGGTAGAGTTGACTGTAATGCGGAGAATGCAATAATGAGTTAAACTGCGAGATCTCACCCATTTTGGCTCGGTTTAACGTGAAAAAAGCGTGCATCGAGAGAGGAGACATAGGGGAGACACATACCGGCCTTCAGGGCGCGCATGGACTGGCGGATGAGGCTCATTGTGACGAGTAAAGAGGTTTCTTGATCTGGAAGGAGCTCTTTGAGGACTGCTCGTCTGGCGGTGGTGGCAACAAGACCCCCGAACACAAAGACAAGAGCTTTTGTGCGGAGGAGGGGACTTCCCTAAAATAGCAACGCTCTTCGTGTTTGTATTAGATTTTGTAAGCAGTCTGGTGGTCTCTACACCCTAATTGTGCAACTGCAGAGTGTTCGGGGACAGTAGAGATCTTCCTCCAACTTAATCGGTGACATGAAGAAGTGAGTGCCACCGAAACACTAGCAACGCAAGGTTGCCGTTCAGGTAGCCTTACTTAGGCAACACTGCCCTTGTGACTGAATGCCGGTAAATTTAAGAATGAGGAAGTGCAGAGGGCAGCGGCAGGTTTCCTGGCCGGTTCGAAAGCCGTGCTCGTTGCATTGCCGCGGGATTTGACGCCAGCGGAAGCTGCGGCTGCACGTTGCGATTGTTGAATGGTGCAGCGTTGCATCACCAGTCTTGTGGTGTACCAGTGCCATCCAAAGTCGTGAGGACATTGTCAGTTTTCTTCTTGCAGGCTGCTGAGTAGGAACCTCATGGGTGGTTACATATCGGCAAATGTGAGGCGCACTTCAGCGATGCCCAGTCACTTCAACTTCGTCAAGTTACAGATATCAACTATTGATTCAATACTTGGGGGGTATATGCTGACGCGATACTGCAGTTTGTTTGGGCTGGTGGTGCTGTTGTCTTCGTTTCGGATTATAACAAGAAATGACAGTCAACACTCTCAGCGAGCGGGGTATAAAATCCAACGAATTTGAATCGCAACACGTGAAATCTGTTTGGGTTGTTGGCGTGCTCGTCAGCCCCGAGTCAGATATCTCCAAACCCGCTCGCAGTTTACATATGAAGTTTGTCGTTGCTTCAGGATAGCACCAGCGCCTCCGTGAAAGAGATTGAGATTGAGCAGACTCAATACTTCGGCTGTTGAACTGGAAGTACTATATTTCGGACCGAATCAGCATCGCTTCCAACATACCGTGCGTAGCATTTGTGTGAACTCGAAGCACTGACAGTCTAACGTAGGTGCTGTTGTTGCCAGTATGCCTTGCTTGGATAGCGCAGTAGTGAAGCCACTTCTGGTCATTAAATAAAATGTCAATGACGTCTGCTCTACATCAGCACGTCAAGTAACTGACCCAAGCTAAATATGTCACGATACCCAATTCACGCTAAGTTGGGCTCCGAATTAAGCCAGTTTAAATTCCATCAATCAGAATTCGCCTCCGTTTCTTGTTTCCACCAATCCCATGCTGCGATGTGCACAATTGCCCAATATAGTAAATAAAACCTCGTACTTCGCATACGAGGTTTTTCCGTATTTTGTCGAATGGGGCCAGGGCGCCGCGCTTCTCCACTCATTATTGGATTTAAATCCGCACGGCGCCCAACGACAGGAAGAAATCCCCCTTCCTGCAACCCGAGCCAAGACAGCTTCACTTCCGCTACACCGGAACGCAATGACGCCGCCCTCGGACGATGGCAAGCCGTCGGCTGAAGGCACACCCAAGAGCGTTGGTGACCTGGCTCAACAGCAGCAAGCACTTCTCCAGCAACAGCTCCAACAGCAGCAATTGCAGCTCCTCCAGCTCCAGCAGCAGCAGCTCCAGAACCTGGCTAACCAGAATATGAGCGCCACTGAGCTGGCAGCGCTGCAACAACAGCAACTTGCACTCTTCATGATGCCCATGTTCCCGCTTATGATGCCACTCCAGCAACAGGCGCTGGCAGCGGCCGCGGCGACCACCGACAGCTCTACGACTGCCAACGCGACGTCCGAAGAGGCCGTGACGACATCTTCTGAGACTGCGGAGGAGGATGCGACGGCTACGGCTGAGTCTGCAGCTACAGCGTCCGGAGGCGACGCCTCGCCAACGTATCAGACCGCGACTGCCGAGTCGCTGGGCCTCACGCCGCCATTTGTGGGCACTGACGGGTTTGGAATGCTTACAGGGACGCCCAGTATCGAGGAGATGCCTAAGCGTAAGCGCGGCCGACCGCCCAAGAAGGATGTGGCGGCACGGGCCAAGGCCGAGGCAGAGAAGACGCTTAAGCAACAGTTTCCTATGTGGGGATATGGTTTGCCAATGCCGCTGCTGCCTGGGTTCCCGGGTATGTTGCCGGGCATGTCGAATCCTGGCGCTGTCGTTAAGGACCACTCTACGGATGATGCGGGAAGAGAGGACGATGGAGACAGTGAACGTCCCGCCAAGATGGCGAAGAAGAAACCGCGCGGAACAGGCAAACCTCGGGGTCGGCCACGTACACGCCCTCGTCCCGGTGAGATTATTCGTCGGGTAAAGCCACTCCCTATTGCGCCTGCAAACTATTCGGTTATGTACAACTATTCTCTCTCCAACTTGGCGCAAAAGAGTGCGGAGCTTAATGCTGATGGAACCACAGCGGATACGGACACGGCGGTCACGGACGACGCACAAGATGATAACCGACTGGCACCACTAAGCGCGTCGCTGCTATCTGGAGAGCACGAGTAGCTTTCAACTTCATCTGATATTGCGCAGTCGATGTAGCGACTGCATTAATACCCCGTTCTTGTTTTATACACAAGTCAGTTTTAAACGATGCGTTTTAAACTATGTGGACGTCTATGAGGTGAGAGCATAAATAACGGTGCCCAACCGTACGTCTTTGGACGCTGCGCTAGTTGTTGGTCTAGAAGAAAACTTCTTCATCGCCTTCGTTGCTTACAGCGTCACTGTCGTAGTAGTCGAAAGTGTAGTCGTTCATATCGTCGCCGAAATCTTCTTCAGCGTCGTCCATGTCGCCGTCATCTGCCTCATGCTCCGCCGCCTTTGCCTTATCGGCTGCAATTTTCTTCTCCTGAGCTTCTAACGACTTGAAAACATTCTCGAATGCTCGTGGTTGCATGATGCCACGGTTAGTTGAACTGGCTGCAGATGTGCGAACTCCACTGAGCGAATTGGCGCGCAGCTCTTCAGGCACGTATACCTCGTTAGCCTTCTGTGTTTCTGGCACTGTCACATGTACGAAAGCTGCTGGATCGGACGCATTGTGACCAGCATCAGGGCCTGCTGGATCCGCCTCCCACGGGTGGTACAGACTCTCGAGCTTGTGTGCCAAGAGGCGCTGTCTTTGGATCAAATAAGCCTCACGGTCGGCCAATGCCTCAGGCTGCGGTAGCTCCATGGGTGGGTACAATGATTCACCAGCTTCAGCCTGTGGTAGCAGAAAGAAGGGTTAGTTATTGCATGATAAATGGCTGGAGAGTTATTGATATTTACGTGAAGCAGCTCCATCTGCGTGTGCGAGAGCCCCAGATCCTCGCGCGTTTCGTCCATAATATCCGCCAGCATCGAGTCTCGGCTGCCGCCGAAGCGCACGCGTCCACGTCCACGTCCTCGACTCATAGCGACTGTCACGCGGCGAAGAGGTCGCCAAGATGGCTGCAATTGCAATGTGCGCCAACCAAAGGTTCAAGTGTATGCTTAATCGTAGTTAAAGCCTGTGTAATGGCATACTTCAAAGTGACAATATAAAGTCAAGAAGGTTATGGTTTCGACCAATAGGAAAGCTGGAAATCTACGACTTCAACTTGTAGGTGACTGATAGCGGCGATGAGGCAGGCAGTCATCCGCTTAGGTATCTTTTATCGTCGATGAGTGGAGCGTCTTGGTGCTGGGCCGGTGTTCCATGTGGTGGCGTGGAGATCATTCTTCGACGGAAGAGCAGTGAAGCCTCATGAGCTTAGAAGTCTTGCCTTCCTAGCGTCATCTCCTCGTGCAGTCGCGAGGTTGATTTATCGTCGAGGTGCTATCGTTAGCATCTATATACTATCGGGTGCAAGTTATGCTTAGCCCACACTTTATCGAACCAATATAAAAAGATAGTATCACAACTCTCGTAGATGTTGAAGAGCGCGCCAATACCCCGTCGTCCATTCTCAAGCTCCCGTTTGAAAATGATCGAGTAGATCAAATCCAGTTTTCGCTACGTTGCATGGACGTTACAAACCTGAACTACTATGCAAACAAGACGCGTACTAATCGTACAGTACATCGCAGCAATGCGCTGTGATGGCTGAGCTAGTTTACAGTTGCACCCGGCTTCCTTTTAAGCTGGTACAAGCAATTCGAGTCATAGCTGCTCGGGCACGCCATTAAGGTATATACTCCGGCTTGCTGCATTCGCTCTCACTATGGCAGGCTACTGCTTCGGTCGCTGCTGTTTTCACTGTTGTTGCCATCCTCACTTTCGAATCCGCCAGCTCCAACCCAAAAGCCAACGCAGCAATGGACACAGATACTGTCCAGCAATTCGTGAACGCCATCGCAGCGACTGAGCTGATACCGCTACCATCGGAGCCCCACAACGGTCGGGTGCACAACTACGGCGGCGTCCTCCCCGGCTCAGCGGATCCAGCATTACTGGAGCTTCCTCCAGGCATCCAATGGCTCAGCAATATACTAACTGACTCAAATCCTTTACGTCTGTACGTGCGTCCAGCCTACCAAACGCTGTTGCTCTTGGCCATGGCATTTGTGGATCATCCCGAGGTGCCGCACCACCGAGTGGTGATTGTCGGATCCTCGGGCACAGGCAAGACAAGCTTTCTGAGCTGGGTACTCCGATACTTGTGTCGATTGGAGAAACCTCCAGTGATCGTACTGAACATCACCGGATTTTTCGGGCGTATTTCATCGGACGGTGAAGTTACCGCTGGTATACGAGGCTCGAGCTTTCAGCTGGAGCTCGCACTTCGCAGCACAGTGTATCTATGCGCCTTCAGTTGGACCGATGAAATCGATCTCGGTATCCGAGCCCGTACCATTGTGATGTCACCACCAACACAAACTGTGACAATGACGGGGCCGGCAGATACCATGCGTACATTAGTACTAGTGATGCCTGTGTGGACCCTAGCAGAGCTCGAAACCTGCCGTTCCACATGCTACTCACATACCGTCTCGCAAGAAACATTATTCGAGCTCTATCAACTGTGGGGTGGAGCTGTTCGCTGGACGCTGGGGACATCCAAACAAGAAGCAAAACGAGAATTCACCCAAAGTATCGAATCGCTATCCTTCTCTTCAGTGGTTGAGGTCGTTGGCAATGGTGGTCTCGTGGAATTACAGCATGGCGCCGAGGATATTGCGGTCGGATTACGACTCATTCACTTGAATGTAGACCCTGACAGCACGTTTCAGCTTACTGGAGCTACGATGTGTAGTACTTCGGCGTGCTCACTGCTTATCAGTGCCAACTCCAAGCAACTTGAAAGCGTTCAAGTTTTTATTGAGACGACCCGGCTGCTTGGATGAACCATCATGCAGTTATTCTGCCAACAGGTGCAACAAGAGCTCTTCGATAACTTAGGGCATCGCGAATAACTATATCACCACAGCTAGCTTTTTTGAATGGAAATTCGTGTCATTATTGCTTAAAATTTCTCCTCTTCGATATATCTACACTTCTAGTTCCCTGCGCACACTTCAAGTCCGGCAGGGGCTTCAGTTGGGGTCGTCTTCTCCGTCGTCACTGTAGCCACGGCAGGCACAGGGAACGGAGTATCAGGCTCCGATGCCGTGAAGGTGTTGTTCATGACGCGTCCTGGGTGCGATCCACCCATGTAGGACGGAAGCGACGACAATGGGATGCCGTGGTTCTGTGCCACTTCCAAGAATGCCTTCATGTCTTTCTGCATTATCACAAAAGCATGACACTCATCAAAAAGCACCTAGCAGCAAGCTCAAGACAGATTACTTACAAACACTTGAATCTTTTCACGGGTTTCAGGCTGGATAATAGCCGAGATGACCTTCCAAGCGCTGTAGAAAATGAACGGTGCGTTCACCACGTACAGGCAGTGCAGTGTCTCCGGGTAGTAAAGCTGACCCACGTCGAAGATAGGCTTACAAAAAAAAAAAAAAACTCGTTAGTTTTATACAAATACTTCATCAGGAAAATGGAATTACCTTGAGGTGACTCAACACCGACGGCGCTAAGAGCTTCATGCTGAGACCCTTGAGGTCCACGATACAAATATGCTTGTATACACGACGACCGAGTCGCTTGGAGATGGCGACTTTCTCCCATTGGATACGCTCCATGTACTGCCATCGGTGTGGGATGATATCTTCGGTATTCGTGAATGTCTTGAACAAGCCGTCCGTGTTGATATCACTGAGGCGATCTACGGTAACGAGGTGTCCCTCTTTATCTTCACCGTAGATGTAGGTCGGCCAGTACTCGTTGTACATTTTAGACATAGGCAAGTCGCGTTTGAGGACGTTGTCGGTATCGTGAGCAGCTCGAGCGTCCAGAATCTTCCTGGTCTCAACGATCGTAAATTCCTTCCGGTTCTTCTTTACGCCTCGATATGCGCGAGCCACGCGGATCGCGAGGTCGTCCGTGCACTGGTCGCCGAATTCCGCCTTCACAGCTTCGAAGAAGGGCTGATCCTCGGCCGACAGGGGCTGGGCCTCTTCGTTTTCATGCAGGGACATGATGTTCAGTGCTTTAGGGTCTTGGGCGAGGGCTCTAATTTACGAATGCAAGAAGCTATGACAGCAGAAAAACTGCTCGTGTGATTGTGCCGCAAAGCCTCGATGAAGGCTCAGCGTTCTGAGCTGACCTGGAAACACCGATAAAGAGTCAGAAGGCGGTTGCGTGGCTGCAATTAGGAGAGCGAAACTGAAATTAGGCGACAACGGTCGGTAAGCTCCTGTTCCTCTTGTCTATCATTATCTCGAGCTTAGCACAAACAGTCCTGCGCATTCCTACGACTGCGTGGCTCACTATCGTCCTCGCAACGGCTTGGAGCTGACGGACACTTACAGACGAGTGACCTCCCAGTCCTCGACCGTGCGCTCCAAGGCGTCTTCGGGTGCCGTGTCGAAAGGGCCCGTTTCTGGAATAAACAGCGAAAAAAATACAGAAGTGTCAGCTACGAAACAGCAACCAGCACGACTGCTTCCAAGCCAGCTAAATGACAGCAACGCACCTGTTCGTCGCGGGTTGTGACGCTCCTTGAGGATGGCCGGTTTGGGGATGATAGTGCCAGTCTTCTTGGACACACGGACCTTCTCGCCCTCGTCCGTGAAGCGGATGGCGATACGCGTGGGCTTACCGATGGACGGATCCACAAGGTTCACGTTACTGTAGTGGATAGGAGAAGGCGACAGGTACGAGCGACCGGCAGCGGCAGGCGTTGCCTTCACGTAGCGGTGCGACTGCAGAAATAAGTAGCAATACGTCAGTCTTTTAGCCTCGAATAGCCTCTAGAACTTCATTACGATGACCTACCATGTTGACATTCTCCACGATAACCTTGTTCAAGTCGCGGACGACTTTCACAACCTCTCCCTGTGTGCCCTTGTGGGGTCCAGCGATAATCTCGACCTGTAGTAGAGAAATACCCACAAGGTTAGCACGATATCTCACCCAAAACGGCGAGTTTAAAGAGAAACAAAGCGCACCTTGTCGCCGCGGAAGATATGCCAGGTCTTGATCAGGTCAATCGGTTTCTTCTTGGTGCGCGGGCCGCGACGGAAGGCAATCGGGATGCGAGTCGCCATCTTCAGCTACGGGGGTTTGCTGTCCACAAGTACACTGCGACTTTAAGCCGAGCAGCTCCGCTCGACTATTGGATGAAATCAAAAACAATAATCAGCATTACTGGTTAAAATAAAAATTATTGTATTGGTTGAAACTTGGTTTTAAATAGATTCGGTGTCTTTTGATTCGCTGAAATCGGGTAGCCACCAGAAAAGTCGAGGGAAGCGTCCAGGAAGAAAAAGCGAGCCACCCGCACCAGCCAAGCTAGAAGGGAGCACTAGGAAGATCAACGATGGCTGACGTCGCAGAGAAGCAGGAACTACCGCCCGCGGGCGATGCCGGTGTGGCTCCGCCCGCCGTGCCCGAGGATGTGGCCGCCATGTTCGACCTGAAGAAGAAGAAGAAGAAATCCAAGAAGGTCAAGAAGGAGGTGTGTCGAATAATTGCATGCTTTATTTTATTGTAATGCTATATTTATTAACATGTACGTAATCATTTATCATATATTTAATGCTAACAGAAGAAGGAGAAATCCGAGGATGCTGATGCCGCCACGGATGCCGCTCCTGACGCCAACTCGGTGCTGGTGCAGGACCCTGCCACGTACTCATACAAGGACGAGCTGTTGGCGCGTATAATGGCCAAGCTGCACGAGAACAACCCGGAGCTGACGGACCGTAAGCGACACACGATGAAGCCGCCTCAGCTCATGCGTGTGGGTACCAAGAAGACGCTGTGGGTGAACTTCCAGGAGATCTGCCAGATGATGCACCGCTCGCCCGAGCACGTGCTGCAGTTCACGCTGGCTGAGCTGGGTACGGAGGGATCTATCGACGGCAATCAGCGTCTCGTCATTCGTGGCCGCTACGTGCCCAAGTACATTGAGTCGCTGCTGCGTAAGTACATCACGGAGTACGTCTCGTGCCAGATGTGCCGCTCGCCCAACACGACGTTGACGCGCGACTCGGTGAGCCGTCTGTACTTCGTGCACTGCCAAGACTGCGGTTCCTCTCGGTCTGTTGCTGCCATTCGCTCGGGTTTCCACGCCGCTACTCGTGCCGACAGAAGGGCCGCTCGCAAGTAAGACTGCTGTGTGGAGTTGCAGTCGCTTAGGACGCTCGGCGGACAAAGTTAGAGCAAGAATTTGGAGCTATGGCACTAGAAATTCTCTATAGTTCAAGCCTTAGAGCCTCTCTGGTGAGTTTTAAACTGTGAGATACCGACGACCCCTTTGAGGGGAAAAAACGAAGCGAGATGAACACGGAGAAGACGAATCTATTGTAGATGTTCGGTGTCACTAGGCTAACCAGTCTGTAGGTCTTAATGGCGATGCTTACTCTTCTTGGACTTGTGGCTATGGCTTGAATCTGTAGCAGCACGCTTCGTTCCATGACGTGAGATAATGATATGACGCTCGAGACCAGAGCCGATGCTCTCATGGGCTAGGCCAAGGCGTTCAGCACAGTCGTGAGCTAGCAGACGCTCGAAGCCGTTCAGGTTGGCGTCCAAGTGCAGCTCGGTGCCTTCGCCTGACTCATTGAAAGCCTCAATCTTCTTGACCAAAGTGTGCGAACTGCCTTCTGAAATGCCTCCTGCCTTGTGGTTGCGTCGAGGTGCAGGAGTAGGCTTGACAGGTTTAGCTGGAGCTTCGTCTTCCGAAGAGTCCGAACTCGATGAAGAGGACCAAGAGGAAGCTGCTGGCTTCGACTTGGCCATAGGAGTTTTCGGTTGTGGCTTCTTCGTCTGCTTGACAACTGGCTTGGATGGAGCTTCATCGTCCGAGTCGCTTTCAGACTCGGATGATAATTCGGCCAACGTAAGCTTACGAGCTGGAGCTGGTGTTTGCTTTACCGGTTTGGAAGGAACTTCATCCTCAGATTCATCTTCAGACTCGGAAGACTCGTCTGTTTTGGAGGCTGAAGCAGGTACAGGAGTTGGTTCTTGAGTTTCATCATCCGAGCTCTCGGAATCCGATGACAACTCCATCTTTGGGTTAGATGCAGGCGACGGTGTTGACTTAGCCGCAGGTTCGTCGTCGAAATTATCTTCATATTCGGATTCCAAAGAATTCAGAACCTGTTTCTGAACGGCAGGCGTAGGAGCCGCAGGTGTCGAAGTCTGCGGTTTGACATCGTCGAAATCATCTTCAGATTCCGTTTCGGACGCGTCTGCCATCGATTCATCGTCATCTGCAGCACCCTGTGCTGTAGGCGACAGCATCTCTTCATCCTCCGATTCAGACGATTCCGAAGAAAACTCGAGCTGTGGGACGCTCTCAACGTAAGGCACGGGGTCAACAACCTTGGCTTGCGGTGCAGACTCCACTGCTTTCGTTTTCTTTTCCTTCACTTTCTCCTTCTTCGCCTTGGGCTCTTCCTTAGCTTTCTGCGTAGCCTTTGTTTTTTCAGCTTTACTGGTATTCGATAGTTTGACACGAATGTGTTTCCGCAAGCTCTTGAACTTGTGCACACTGGCATCGCATGGAGCACAGAACGGGACTTCACACTGTTCGCATCGCACACTGGCAGTATTCGACTCGCACTCGCCACAGCGCGGCAGTTGGGGGATCGGAGGGAGCTTTGCCCGTTTGTGTTTAGCCATCACACGAGCGCGATGCACGGCGGAGTTGCAGTCATCACAATAGAGCGAGTTATCACACTTTGCACACATCCACACAGCAACGCCGGCCTTCTCGCATTCGACACATGTGCGAGTGTCATTATTCTGTTCTGCTTCAGCCTCGCTCTCACTCTCGTTCTCACTCTCTTGTTTGCTGTGGACAGGGGCTTCGGTTGGCGCCTTCTCCGGTGCGGCCTCTGTTTTGGACTGATGAATAAACCTGCAAGCGTCACCACGAGTGCACACACCACTCAGGAAGAACTGGCACAGCTGTGCTACCTTGCCCGTAGGAGCCGGTACAGCGTCCTTCGCAACACCTAAAACGTGAGCATACGTGCACGCTGAGCCTTGTGCACAGAAGCCACGCGTAAAGTGACGACAAAGCTGAGTGGGAGGGATATCTTGCACCTCCGACGGCACAACGGCTGGCTCGGCCGGCTTCGGTGCTGCTTTCGGCTTTGGTGTCTTCTTCTTCGGCTCACGCGGAGCCTTTGAAACGACAGGAGCCGGGGCTGCAAACGCAGCATCGTCAGTCACGTGGTAATACTTGCACATGTCGCCCTGGCGGCAGATTCCAGCCGCAAAGCCGCGGCACGGCTCTGTTGTTTTCTTGAATTTGCGCTGTAGAGATACCTTGAGCGTCTTGCCGTACACCACAGCTCCATTCGTTGCCTCCATGGCCCTCTGAGCATGCTGTTTCTGTGCGAAAACCACTTGACTGCATTGAACACGAATGAATTAGCACAGATCAAAGACACGTAGACGTTGGCAACAGTGTTTCGACGTACGCAGAGTTGGTTCCGTTGTGTCGGACACGCACAATGGGGCCGTAAGTACGATACATATTCATGAGCATGCCATCGGACAGCTCAGTGCCGATACCCGAGAGCACGATGGTCGCTTCCTTGCCAGAGTACGCCATGAAGAAGGTGTTCAACTACCAATCAAGACTTTGGCTGGTCACGGTCAATGTGTCACTATAATGAGGTAATTGAGTTAATGGCACTAACTGCGAGGACATTATGGATGGAGGGGCCTGGTGTTACATCGTCGGGAAAGCGACGGAGGTCGGAGAGCGAAGGCAAGGAAGAAACGGAGGTGAATAATGTGCATATTGAAGAGCATACAAGTGAGCAGGCCACGAATGGCCATCGAGATGCGGACGAGTTGGAAGATAAAGCTCCAGCTCCGCACTCAGCAACAGCAGAAGGAGGTGGCGCCGATGACAGCGAGGAAGAGATGCTGGTAGTGCTGGAGTTATGTGACTTTAAGAACCATCCACTATTCGACGACTACAGCTCTGCGACGCTTGAGGTGCGTTGATTTGTTAACAGTTTTGGTTGGGTCTGATGCTGACGTTGTGATGCTGGATTATTGGCTAGGGTATCGACACGGTAACACCGATGCTGAAAATCGGAGAGTACGAATTGCATGGGCAACTAGAGGAAACAGTGGGCACGAGCTACTTCTACGACACGGACACATCGAAAATGCCAGACAAGACGTACCAGTTCGCAGGCCAGACTATCAAGAAGATTAAGTTCACTATCGCACCGCCGGAAGACGTGTAGTCCTGCACTGTAACTCAACGCATCCGCTGTACTGTATCTTACACTGGGCACCGTGAACTCTTGAAGAGCGACAAAACTCCATTCATTCGCTCTTATTTTCTTTGTTATAAAGACACTCCACTCGTCGGTCTTTCAGGCCGCAACTCGCAGAGTTCCTCTGAGTATCTGTGTCTGCTTAACGGTAGAGCTGTTCAACCGAGAGGTTCTTGGCAATCTCGAACTCCCACTTGTCACCGTTAGCCAGCAGCTTGGCCTTGTCGTACAGCAGCTCCTCGTGAGTCTCAGTGGCGAACTCGAAGTTGGGGCCTTCGACGATGGCATCCACGGGGCACGCCTCCTGGCAGAAGCCACAGTAGATGCACTTGGTCATGTCAATGTCGTAACGCGTGGTACGGCGCGCACCATCAGCACGCGGCTCCTGTAAAATTAATAAATCAATCATCAGCTTCACTTTTCCTTCAAAGATCTGTTTAACACTTTTTCCTACGCACCGCTTCAATGGTAATGGCCTGAGCGGGGCAGATAGCCTCACACAGCTTGCAGGCAATGCATCTAATGGTCAATACATAACAGACGATGAGGATGAGAACGCGACTCTCCATAAAGCTGCCCGCACCACCAGAATGAGGTCACTCACCGTTCTTCGCCGCTCGGGTAGCGACGCAGAGCGTGCTCGCCACGGAAACGCGGGCTGAGCATGCCCTTCTCATACGGGTAGTTGATCGTAACCTTGCGCTCAACGTGCACTTCCCAGGCCAGCCAGGTGGCACGGAACACGTCCGAAAGGAAGAAGGTGTCGGACATCTTCTCGATCACCTCGCCCCACGTGGGCTTGGGGTCCACCTTTCCTGGCGCGGGGATATTAGCGAAGCCGCGCGCGCTACCGGCCACCGCAGCGGGTGCCGTGCGGCTCAGGCTCTGCTTGGCAGCCACGGCCGCGGCCGATCGACGCAGCATCATGACGTTCATCGCGTTCCGGTAGTGTGGGGAGGTCTGAGAGCCGCTCGTCGCTGGAACAACTTTAGCGCAACTTGAGCAGGTACTGAGATAACGAAATTACAAGTTGTGTGGACTACACGATTTATAACTGTTGTGTTTCACTGGAAGCGAAGCCGCCATTTCGACGTCAAAGCGTCTGTACAGCAGGATAGCAGCAGGGATGGCATCGAATGCGTTCGTGTTGTGCAAAGTCCGACACAGCGTGAGTCTGTCGCCGTGTCATGCCGTGGATGCGCGTGTGGGCATCGAGCAGGACCTGACGGAGCAGCTCATGCGCTACTCGGAGGCATTGCAGGGTGTAGTGCTGAGCTTCAGTAACGTGCAGCTGGGCAGACCCTACGGGACCATCGTGAACGAGATGCCCTACATTCACTGTAAGGTGCTGACCGATGCGCTGGTCTTCCGCCCCAAGGAGGGCATGATGCTGCGCGGCGTCGTCAATAAGATCGGCAGCAACCACGTCGGTATGCTCTTCGCTGGAGTCTTCAACGGCTCCGTTGCTGAGGCTGAGCTGCCCAAGGGATACGTACACAACTACGCTCAGGATTGCTGGTACGACGGCTGCAGTTACTGAGTATGCGGCTCTATTATTCATGCTGTGTTTTGGTATCCATGATGTAGGCTGGGCGAGGACGGCTCTTCTATCTCTGTCGAGGACGAAGTAGAGGTTAAAGTGCTGCGGTGAGTGGAGTATTGTATTGGATTTCACTCATTGCTATACATAAGGCTGATATAGTTTTTTTTATTGTTACTTTTTCGCAGTGTCCACGTTGCTGGCGGCATGATCGCTATTGAAGCCACTATGCGCTTCGACGCCGCTGGTGTTGCGAAGTCTACGGCACCGAAAAAAGTAAAGAAAACCTCGCACCTTAACTTGGCAGCAGGAGAGCCGGTAACCAAGCCAATTAAGGAAAAGAAGACCAAAAAGACCAAAAAGGTTGACGAAGCGGAGGACAAGCAGGAAAAGAAGAGCAAAAAGCGCAAGCACGAGAAGCCTGATGAAGAGGTAGTAGAAGAGGAACCCGTTGAAGCCGAGGAGGTCAAGGTGAAGTCTAAGAAGCACAAGCATAAGGACAAAGACGCCAAGAAGAAAAAGCACAAGAAAACCAAGCACGACTAGACTGAGGTGACGCTAGGCATAGATGGATAGCAGGTATCCAGCTGCATGTGTTTATATACTTTCAAGAGCTTTTGTCAGCAATCTCTCTTCATTCCAGAATGCCAGAATAAGCAAACTCTCTCATTAAATACGCCACAGGTATCCTAGTGCTACTAGTGCAGCTAGATTAGTCATACGAGACCAGGTTCTCCAACTTTACTGGGATTTTTGGTAGTGGCTGCTTCGGGTCGCGGATGTTCCAGTTCGGAGACTGCTGCGCTTTATGCCACTTGAAATCGTTCACCTTCGCCCAGAGACCCGAGTCCTTCGACAAGCCCAGACGTTCTAGCTGTGCCTCGAGACCGTCAAACTGTATGCGGTACGGCCCAAACTGCATCTGCTGGCAGTCTTCAATGATCGGATGGCTCGGAATACGAAGGTGGAAGGTCGTAGCAGTGCTCAAGTGAACGCGCAGCTGACGACACGCGACGAAAAATTCACAACCGTTGCAGTTCTCAAGCCACAAACTGCCGAAGATCGCTCCTGTATAGAACACACAGTTCTTCAGTGCATCGCCACGGATGGCCGATGTCTCCACGCAAACCAGTACAACGCAGTCAGTTAAATGCGAGAAGTTCAGATCGCGACGCTTGCTGTAGTCTGCGTCGGTGAAGCTGCTGCTATCGATGATAATGACCTCGTTCTGCTTGTTAGCATGCACCAACTCGTCAAACTCTATCGCTCTCTGTGAAGTCGACGAGGCCTGCTGGTTGCCAGTCAAAGCTGGTGATTCTGGCTGATCCTGTTTCTCCGCTTCTTTGGCTTTAGCTCTGTTCGCTGCACGTGCTCGAAATGTGAACTTCTTCCTAGGAGCGAACATCGTTCGAGTAGTCTCAATCAGCTTCAGTAATTTAGACAGGATCAACTGCGTGTGGCGAGTGTCGTACGGCGACAAGTACAGTGACGATGCTGTTGCAGCAGCGTCTCTCATAGAGTTCACCTCTAGCACCAGTGCATCCAGCTTGACCTCATTGGCAGGGTCACAAGGCAGTGGCTGCTTCTTCTGTTCACAGAATAAACCCACCTGCTTGCGAATATGCTCCTCTTGTTGCGTAAACTTTTCCCAGAACGCCGTCGCCAACTCATCCGTCGTTAGCTCCCGATTCAGCTTCGAGGCATCGTGTGTATTATTAACAGTCGCTGCACTCCTCGCCCCTTGCTTCTCCTTGCGTCGCTCCTCCAATGCGTGTGCCAGACTCTCCTCGTGTGTTGTGAGTATAGGAAATTCGCCGATGGTATTGACCCTCTCTGGCCGAACAATGGCACCGTGTAGCGGTTTGCAATCAAAGTATCGCCTTCCCTGGAATGTGCCATCGCCTTTGCCCAACGGTTTGTCTAGCCGCACTCCAAGCCAGCCGTCACCCGGTAGGCCCTCGATCGCCCCAATATACGCGATCTCACCGTAGCGCTTGATGCTAGCGCGCAGACTGCCACTCGGACCCGAGGACAGCAGTTCGCACCGCGTTCCTGGCTCCTCCATGCCGCGTCCCTTCCAAACCAAGATTTTGTTAAAACAGATTTAACCGAATAAAACCTCACAAAATAGTAACCCTGTCTCCATTTAGAATTTAGAACAAACTTAAAAAGTCAACCACATAATATAAATCCACTCGAACAGGTGGTTATAATACCGATGTGAACTCGTATAAGTAGACACCAGCCTGTTTAAAACTGGTTAAGTACGATTCAGACTTGTTTAAGTTTACACACCCAATCGATTTTTTTGGAAAATTTTACTGAGGGCCGTCCGCAACTGAAGTGGACCCATGCAGTTTTGGACACTAGGTCACAGCGCATGCGTTCCATTTTCTGACCAATTAGATTTGCTTTCAAATTTTTAACCAATGAGCTTACTTTTATGACGAATTGCAAAACTGGGCCGCTAGTATCATAATGTCTCCAGTGTCGCCTCCCTCCC